GCTGTCGGTGGACAGCACGGACACGCGGGCCAGCTCTCGATCGGGCAGGAGGCCCTGCAGGTCCAAGGCCTCCATGTCCGCGCTGAGGAGCCGCTGGGAGCGCGGGCGCAGGAAGAGCACCAGTTCCTTCCCTGTGACGCGGAGAACAAGGGCGCCGTGGGCGGAGGGCGTGTGGGCTGCCAGGGCCTCACCCCATAAGGTCGGGGTTCATGTTTCCCAAACGCTGCTTCACTGAGCAGCAGCCCCACAAGATGCTCCCGAAGGAGCAGAGGTTCTGTGGCCAACAGGCCAAGCGCCCCCCTCGCCGGCCCCCTTTTGCTGAGTTCCATTCCTCAACATCTAAAGGCTCTGGGAAGCCTGCCGTCAACAAGGAATCAGCGTCAGCAGTACCTCCCGACTGTGAGCCTCTTTTTCACCATCGCTCATTAGCATCCTCCTGCCCTCCCACTTCCTGTAGCTTCCCCTGGGACACAGAGAACAGACCAGCAGCTCCGGGGAAGACCTCCAGGCTTCCCTGACCTCCAGACACGGCCCTGGGGCTGAGTATGTTCATTTGATTTCCCACGAGGAAACAGGCCCAGAGAGAAAACCGAGTCTGTCTGGGCCAGGGGTGGGCAAACTTTTTGACTCGAGGGCCACAATGGGTTCTTAAACTGGACCGGAGGGCCGGAACAAAAGCATGGATGGAGTGTTTGTGTGAACTAATATAAATTCAAAGTAAACATCATTACATAAAAGGGTACGGTCTTTTTTTTTTTTAGTTTTATTCATTTCAAATGGGCCGGATCCGGCCTGCGGGCCGTAGTTTGCCCACGGCTGGTCTAGGGTGACCCGGCATGTTAACGGAAGTGCCAGGGCCTGACCCAGCTCACTAGTCCAGCTCTGCTCCCTGCAGCCTGTGCCTGTCTTCCCCGCTCCCTTGACAAGGGCCAGGGGCACTGGGAGGGGACGCCAGTGGGAGGGGAAGTGCCGGGTGAGCGGGTCTTTCTGGCAGGGCCCTGCAGCTCCGGGAGCCATGACTTCTCTTGTGACTGCCTCCTTCTTGGGGACCTGCATTGTCTGTTGGCATCATCATGAGCATGTGGCCCCTTCTAGACCAGTGGTTCTCAACCTTCCTAATGCCGCGACCCTTTAATACAGTTCCTCACGTTGTGGTGACCCCCAATTTCATTGTTACAAATTGAACATAATTAAAGCATAGTGATGAATCACAAAAACAATATGTAATTATAATGTGTTTTCCGATGGTCTTCGGCGACCCCTGTGAAAGGGTCGTTCAACCCCCAAAGGGGTCGCGACCCACAGGTTGAGAACCCCTGGTCTAGAGCCTTCGAACAACAATAGGATTAAGGATGGAATTGTTTAATCTTCTAAGACTGGGGCTTCATTTCCAAGCACTAACCTACGTGCCCTCAGAAAGCAAGGAAGGGGTGGTGTAATACTCAACGCAATTCTGACGCTAACAACCCAGAGTTCATCAGACGCCACAAGGTCAGGGCACTGTTCCCAACCCACTGCCCTCACTTTGCATTCCAGCTGCAAGTTCGGGGTCCCCAGGCCACTCACACTTCACACAAAGACAGACACAGACACACATAATAGATACAAAGTTACAGTCACACAGAACACACACAAACACAATAGATACACATACAAGCACATGCAGATATATACACAGACACACGCACAGAGACACATGGACACAATGACACACAAACATATGTACACACACACAAGCACACACAGACACAGGCACACTTATACAGATGCAGAGACACACACAGACACACACATATGCCCCTGTTCCCAGCCAGCTGCCACGGAGGAGGTCAGAGGCGTGACTTACAGAGCTGCTCCTCATCCGTCCACAGCTGGAACGTGATGTGCGGGCTGGGCAGGGGGATGCTTGGGGGCCGCTCTGGGAGGGGGTCACCTGGAGGAAGGAGCAGGCTGTGGAGACCACGGAGAAGATTGTGGGATTCTCCTCTGCCCTCCCCCTCACCCGCAGCTCCTGCATGGGGCCTATGGGGGTTGGCAGAGACCCTCGCCCTCCCACCCCCGCTCCGGTTCCGGCCTCTCCCTCTGCCACCGGCAGCTCACCCAGGCCTCACGCTGCAGCCCTGCCTCCTGCCCACGGTGCTCAGAAGCTCCGTTTCCTGCGAGCTTCCTGGCTCCGCTTTTAGTCCCTTCACAAACCAGCTCACAGGGTCTTCCCCAACCATTTCTCCTATGGCTGGTCCCTCCGCTAACCCCACATGCAGCCACGCTGCCTTCACCCAGAGCAGTGGTCGGCAAACTGCGGCTCGAGAGCAACATGCGGCTCTTTGGCCCCTTGAGTGTGGCTCTTCCACAAAATACCGACTTCTGCGCACGGGCCACGAAGTTTCAATCGCACTGTACGTGCACGCCCGCAAGTGGTATTTTGTGGAAGAGCCACACTCAAGGGGCCAAAGAGCCGCATGTTGCTCTCGAGCCGCAGTTTGCCGACCACTGCTCTGGGTGAAGGCGGGGAAAGGCTGCTGTTTCCCAGCGTCTCTCCCGGTAGCTTGCACACAGAAGGCACTCAATTAATGTCTGCTCTGGGGGGTGACGCTAAAGAGAGCTCAGGAGCCAAGTACTAAGGTCAGCAGGACTCCTGCAGTCCAGGGGAGAGACGGGCCAGGCCCCCCCTCTTCTCCTCCTTCTGAAAGCCTTCCTGACCACTCCACCCCCGTGGTCATTTCCTCCCAGCAGACCTTACTGGCTGCGCTTAACAACTAAATCCTAACATGTAGACTCAGGATTTAATTTCTACATAGCATGGCTCCCTCCCTATCAAGGCTGCAAGCTTCCTTAGTGGAGAGCAACTAATGCCCACAGAACACCTACTCCTGCCAGGTGCTGTTCTCTGCACCTGGCACACCTTGCCATCACCTCACCAGATCCTGCATGGGCCACAGACAGTATTCTTATCCTCACTTTACAGAGGAGGAGCCAGCGGCACAGAGAGGTTAAGTAACTGGCCCCAGGCCACACAGTAAGTCGCAGAGTCAGAACTCGAGGCCAGGTATGCCCCTTCAGAGTGCATGCTTTTACCCAGGACACTGCTCAGAACCACTGTCCCATGCAGGGGCTCAACAGGCTGGCCAGTAAGATGTGCAGGACAAGTCAAGGCAGGAGGCAGGTGCTGGAGTGGCTGGGTGGTGGGGGTGGCCAGACCCGGTCTCATCCTGTCCATGCAGTTACTGCAGAGTTAGCAAGTGGTACCCCAGGAGAGCACCCGCCGCTTACCGCCGCAGCGCCCCCTGGCGGCCGCCGTGGGCCCCAGCAGCGAGCAGTAAATCTCCTCCAGCCTCTCCAGGTGCTCCTCGCGGGTGGCGCTGGGCTCGCTGGCCATCTGCTCCACCTGGGCC